AATTACAGAAAGAAAAGTTGAAAGTCCGCCAATATCCCTAATTATATTCCCTAGAAGTTACGCATTAAAAATTCAGCCAGGCAGAGTGGCACATTCCTATAGCCCCAGCTATTTGAGAGGCTGAGGCAAGAGGATCCAAAAGTTCAAGGACAGACTGGGTAACATAGTGAGACCCCATCTCAAAACAACAACAACCACCACAACAAAATTTGGAGTGTCTCTAATTGTATTCATTCACATTCTTCATTCATATTGTTGGGAGGAAATGTACTCATTCAAAAACTTTTCCCCTACCAACTTAGAGTCAGTGGTTGGGGGCCTGTGAATGTAACTGACAGTAGGTAAGATTAACGAGAGAAAAGACAAAGTGTGTTTATAAGCTCCAGAGCCTTGAGATGAATTGGCTTCCAGAACAGCCAAAGATACCCCCTTAATACGGGGAAAAGGAGGGAGGAGGAGGCGCTTTTATGGAAGAACAAATGGAAGATATGACAGTTTCAGATAAAATGTGTTAAACAGTTAGTAATTCCAATGATAATGCTAAGTTTCTTTTCTGGCTCTAAACTTCCCAAAGAAGGGATTTGTGGCAGCTGTATTTTTCAGGAGGTCCTGCTTACATCAGCAAAAGAAGATTAGATAAAGCTTCTTTCTCCAGCTTCTTTTTGTTCAGATGTTTTTAGCTTAAAATAATCTTTATGCTACCGAGGTGCATTTTGGATCTTACATATCCAATAAAACTTAAGCTCTCATTTAATAAATAACACTAAATAACAGTGCTGGGAACCGTTCAAGCTGTTTGGAATATATCAATGTACAAACTATCAAGGTTTGTACTATGAAAATTTGTATCAATGTACACATTTTTTTAGAAGTCTTGTCTTTTTTTAAATGCCTAGCATTTTAATGAATAAAAAATCATATAAATAAATAAAATAAATAAATAATTTTTAAAATGCCGAGCATTTTAATAAATAATTAACATGAGTATGAAAACCTCTTACTTGCAAACAATTAGAATATGAAATCATTTTTATACAAAGAGATCTTCAGTTGGAAGAAAATCCACAAGGTGTCTTTAAAGAAGTGTCTTCTCCAGGTTTTGCACACATGTCAGATAAACACCTAACAAAGAAACATGAAAGGCTAAAAATTTTGAAATTGTGTTTTTTTAGCAGGATGTTTTACAGACATGGGCTTTTACATTTTTTATTATATTTGATGAAAAATGTTCCTGGTCATAAAGAAGTCCCAGGAGCCGTGAGCAGGCCTCCTTTGGAGGAGGACTGTGGTAGAACAGAACAGGTCGGGAAGGCAAGAGTCTGATTCTTTCTTGTATGGCCTTGCCCAAGTCCCACCCCTTCCTCAGCTTGTTTCCTCAGCTGCAAAATGGAGATGAAGGCTACTATCCTTTTAGGTATTGTGATTCATTCTGCATAGGACATAAAAGTCTTCAATGAGATTTTTCATGTAAAGCATTCAGAAAAGTTATCTTTGCTATTACTTCAAGTTATTTACTCATACATGCTAATTGATAATGCATGAAGTGTAGTGTAGGCTTAAGGGATTGTTATCTTTATACTGTGGGACAAATTCCTTGATCTATCTGGAATCTCTAAGATACTGGATGGTTCCTGCCTTCAAGGTCAAACTGAGAGTGAATCACTTCAAAAGAAGAAAATCAGTGTCGAATAAATGCTGTGGGCTGGCCTAGAAAAGCAAGAATCAAGAGCCACCTCAGCCAGTCAGTCTCAGGGGATCCAGCAGCTGCTGCAGGCCAAGACACAGCCACTGAGAAGGTGTCCAAGTCTGAGCAAAAGACATAGAGGCTGAAGCAGGCCAAGGGGGCTGCTGAGGCTGAAACTGAACAGCACCGCCTGTGGAGGGAGAAAGAGTTCAAGACCAAGGAAGCTGCAGCCCTGGAATCTCACAGTGGCCGTGGCACTCAAGTGGCACAAGAGGCTCAGAAGAAGAGGACCAGCCTCCAGAACTACTTCCAGCAGAACGGGGGTGAAGGCTTGGCTAGCCTCTTGGCTTTTGTCTGTGACACTTGGACAGAAATCCATGAAAACTACTGCATAAATGAAGAAGAGTGGGAGAAAGAAGCGCCTGTACCATGGATTGGCATTTTAGATGCCCTTGAAGAATATGAAGCTCGAGTTATATTCTTATGAAAAGGTATTACATGATTTCTGCATATTATGTAGCAAGTCCCTTCACTTCTCAGAGAATATAAAATCTAACTTCTTTGTACAGACTTAGAACTTATCTATAGATTTTCTTTTTACATCGTATTTCCTAGAAATTTAATGGGTATATGTCATCTGTTTTCCCATGCCTTTTAGCTCGTGTAACAAATACATCAATGTATCAATGTTGACTTTTTCTTTCTTTCATCTAGTAAAAAAAAGTTATTTGAAGAAAGAAAGAGATTAATCATTTTTTTCCCTGTAGCGTTTTCTTGAATGTCAGGATTCTAACTATGAAAAAGTAGTAAATAGTTATTTGTAATCTGTGTGAAGCAGCAGCTACCCTTAAATTAGTCCTTTCCTGCTAATGGTTAGAATAATGAATACTAGTATAACTGTTTGGGCTGCTTTTAGTTTCTCTTAATTAAAATTACTAGATGGTAGAATTCAAGAACTTGTTACATGTTATTACTCGGTGTACTGATAATCATCTAAAAGTAACACTTTGTCATGCAAAAAAAAAAAAAAAAAAAAAAGAAAGAATTTCCTAAATGTCCATGGACAGATGAATGGATACAGAAAATGTGGTTTGTACATACAGTGGAATACAATTCGGCCTTAAAAAAGAAGACAGTTTTGCAATTACAATCAAAAGGCATCTTAGGGACAGCTGGGCCACCTCTACTCTGTACAGGAATCTCTAGCCATCTCCTTTGGCCTCTGGTGGAATACTTGCAGACTGGGGTACTCCGGGTCATGGGGGCTGCTGTGAGCCAGGGAGTGGGAATGACCTCAGCCAACAGGCAAGCACAGGACCGTCCAGGGGCCAAGGAGCCCCAGCTGATTGTTGCCGATGGGGAATGTGATCCCAGGCTTGCCCAAACATTTTATAGTAGCCCCACCAAAAAATTTTAAAAATCTGCATTTGTATGGAAGATTGCCCACATTTTAAATGTTGGCCCACATTTATACAACATTGTGAGGTTCAAACAACACCTGTTGCCAAATTAGAGTCCCATTTTCAATGTCTGCCCTGGAGGTAAAGGGCACTGGTTCTAGACTTATATGACTTGAATTCAAATCCTACTTCTGACACTTTCTGGCCAATTATTAATCACTCACTGCCTCAGTTTTCTCTTTCATAAAGTAGGGTTTATCATAGTTCTACCTCATGAGAATTGTTGTGAGGACTGAATAAAATATTATGAAATTTAGACTAGAAAGAGCTGAACACAGTGCCTGGCACACAGTAAGTGTTCAATACATGTCAGTTCTTATGATTTATTTATTAATGTATTTATTTGAGACAGGCTCTGACTCTGTTGTCCAGGCTGGAGTGCAGTAGTTCAATCTCAGTTCACTGCAGCCTCGACCTCCTGGGCTCAAGCAATCCTCCCACCCCAGCCTCCCAAGTAGCTGGGACTATAGACATGGGCCACCATGCCTGGCTTCTTTTTTTCTTTTTTTTTTTTTGGTAGAAATGGGGTTTCACCATGTTGCCCAGGCTGGTCTCAAAATTCCTGAACTCAAGCAATCTGCCTGCCTTGGCCTCTCGAAGTGCTGGGATCACAGGCATGTGCCAGAGTGCACAGCAAGTTCTTACAATTATTGTTTGATAAGCTGTGTCAATCCCTTCGGCTGAACACCAGCAAATCTGTCTAATTAGGTACATGTAAGAATGGGGTTGTCCTTGAGGCTTAGATGAGTGAATACTTGTAAAGCTTTAGAATGGTCCCTGGAATACAGTAAGTGTTCAGCAAATGCTGATTGTCATGACTGCCCTCTACCGTCTGGCTAATTCTTTTTTTTTTTTTTAAGATGAATCTTGCTCGTCGCCCAGGCTGGAGTGGCACGATCTCGGCTCACTGCAACCTCTGCCCCCCCATGTTCAAGTGATTCTCCTGTCTTGGTCTCCCGAATAGCTGGGATTACAGGCACATGCCACCACGTCTGGCTAATTGTTGTATTTTTAGTAGAGACAGGGTTTCCCCATTTTGGCCAGGCTGGTCTGGAACTCCTGACCTCAGGTGATCCACCCGCCTCGGCCTCCCGAAGTGCCAGGATTACAGGTGTGAGCCAGTGCATCCGGCCCATTCTGGCTGATTCTTGATAGCCCTCAGAAAAGATCAGCAGGAACACTGCACTCTCCTTTCTACTCACATGTCAGGCAGACCATGGCGAGGCGAATGGACAGATCCAGAGGCAGTGCCCAGCGTGTTGACACCCGGGAGATGGCAAAGGGGATGATGATTTCCGCAGGGACGTAGAACTGCAGGGCATAGGTGCACAGGATGCCGGCAATGTAGAGAAGCTTGACAGACTGGTACAGCCTGCAGGACAAACCACAGCGCTGCTCTCCACGGCCACTGTGTTCTGACACTGGCCTCCTTGGAACATTAACCTCTGACCTTGGGACAATGACTTGGGCTTTTGTTTTCCTTTCTGAAAATGACTGAGAGGGACTTTCTAAGAGTCAGGAGGGAGTCACAGCAGGGCATGCAGTGAAAATAGAGGGAAGCTTTCCTGATTCCATGGAAACAATTGAAAGGGTCATTTCTAAATGAAATAAAAATCATCCTGAGCTTGAGTATATATTGCATCTTCGCAAATCACTACCATCTGATGCTCAATCTTACGTTTTAGAAAAGAGAGGCTCAGGCCAGATACTTTGCCCGGGGAGACACAGATGATAAGTGGCTAAGACCAAAAGCCCTGGATCTAAAAGACTCTAGTCTTTTGTGATCTGTCAGTCCTTAGGAATTCTCTGGATTCCCCAAAGCTCTTGGCACATAACTGTTGTCTCTAGTTGGTTGAGAGAACTGCAGAATCCCAAATCCTTGGAGGAAGAGACAGTGTATAAATAGGGCTATGTGGAAGTTAGGGGGAGTCAGGGTGGAATACAAGGAGAAACAGGGTTACTTGCTGGCCTCAAGCTAGGGGCAGAGAGTGTGTGAGGCTTCAGGGATACTGAGTTCTATCTCAGTTTTTTTCTTTTTGATCTATTGAGATGTGACTATTTTCCTTCAGTCCACTAATGTAGATGCATTTCCATGTTTAATAAATGTGTGTGTGACACTGGGCATAGTGGATCATGCCTGTAATCCCAGCACTTTGGGAGGCCGAGAGGAGTGGATGACCTGAGGTCAGGAGTTTGAGACCAGTCTGACCAACATGGCAAAACCCTGCCACTACCAAAAATACAAAAATTACCCAGGTGTGGTGGTGCACAACTGTGATCCCAGCTACTCGGGAGGCTGAGGCAGGAGAATCTCTTGAACCTGGGAGGTAGCGGTTGCAGTGAGCCGAGATTGCGCCACTGCACTCCAGCCTGGGTGACAGAGTGAGACTCTGTCTCAAAAATCAATCAATCAATCAATCAATCAATCAATAAGTGTGCTTGTGTGTTTAGCCCATTCCTTAAAAAGGCTAACTTCCACATTGCTGTGTTTCTTGCTCACGCTAGTCCTGCTGCCTGGGCACCCTCTTTACTTCATTTCCATCTGTTCAAATCCATCCAAGTTTTTGAAATTCCCCTCTTCTGAGCAGGTACCACAGCCAGATGCTTTTAGACACAGCCCAACTTAATCCTCATGACAACTCCGGTTTATAAATGAGGCAACTGAGGTTCAGAGAGGTGAAGTAAATCATCCACTACCACAAGCTAGTAGGTGGTGCAACTGGAACTTGGACTCAGGTGTACCAGAATGGCCCATGTTTGGAGAGAGTTGACCTGCTGGACAATGAGTTTCCCTGTTGTCTCCTTCCAATGTGCTTTCTTTCCTTGGAAATCCCCAAGGCCTGTTTGCTACTCTGGAGAGCTTCTTTTTCTATGTTATAGTTTGTGTCCATACACTATTATCTGTCCCTCCACCATTACCACCGAATCAGGAGCCGATGAAGACAGGGAAGCTCCAAGGTCATAGTCTACTCACATCAGTGCCGCTTGGCATCTGCTTATAATTGGCATGCAATAAATGCTTGATGAGTGACTTTATCATCTTGGGAAAGGAGCCCCATTTAGGCAAATTAGGGCTCCAAGTGACTGTGACTCTCTGCTTGAGAAGACCCAAATGTCCTTTAATTAATGACATTACCTGGTGTGGGAGAAAATCTTGCACAGTGGGATGTGGGTTCACGTGTCTGTTCAATATGGCACTGTTGAAGTCTGTGGGGCTGCTAGCTATTGCATGAATTGGGTATGTTAGAATACAAAACTTTTACAGATTCCAGTGGTCTTCCTAAATTGTTTTGCTTGTTTTTTTTGAGACAGAGTCTCTGCCACCCAGGCTGGAGTGCTGTGGTGCCATCTTGGCTCACTGCAACCTCCACCTCCCAGGTTCAAGCGATTCTCCTGCCTCCGCCTCCTGAGTAGCTGGGACTGTAGGTGTGTGCCACCATGTCTAGCTAATTTATTTATTCATTTCTTTTTTTGAGATGGAGTTTCGCTCTTGTTGCCCAGGCTGGAATTCAATGGCACCATCTCAGTTCACTGCAACCTCTGCCTCCCAGGTTTAAGCGATTCTCCTGCTCAGCCTCCTGAGTAGCTGGGATTACAGGTGCCCACCACCATGCCTGGCTACTTTTGTATTTTTAGTAGAGATGAGGTTTTGCCATGTTGACCAGGCTGGTCTTGAACTCCTGACCTCAGCTGTTGAACTCCTGACCTCAGGTGATCCACCCACCCTGCCTCCCAAAATGCTGGGATTACAGGCGTGAGCCACCACGCCTGGCCTGTTTGTTTTTAAGAGATAGGGTCTCACTGTGTCACTCAGGCTGGAGTGGAGTGCAGTGGTGCGATGACAGCCTTCTGTAACCTCAAACTCCTGGGCTCAAGTGATCTTCCTACCTCAGCATCCCAAATAGCTGCGACTACAGGTATGAGATATCACGCTTAGCTAAGTTATGGTAATTTTTTTGTAGAAGTGGGGTCTTACCATGTTGCCCAGGCTGGCCCAGTTGGTTTTTGTTTTCCATTTTTTTATTTGGTTACTCTGACTTGGGGAATGTGAACCATTGGCTGTGGCAAACAAGACTATGGGAAGTGTGGCCACCCCCGACTCCTCTCTCTCTTTCCATCTCCCAGTGCCCCTCCCTTCTCTCCTTAGGAGACCAAGGCCTCTCACTTTTGTCCTCTCTTCTTAAGTCACGTCCTCCTTCAAACTAAGATGTCAAGGCTTAACTCAATTTGGGAGGCTGTTGTTGAAGGAGGAACTCCCAGGACAGAGAATCTGGAGACCATGGTTCCAATGACAATTCTGCCTCTTCTGTGGGAGGCTCTCTAGACCTCGGTTTCCCAGCTGTGGAAGGGAGGAGGAAGTGACCTACAAGTTTCCACTCATCCCTGAGTCCCCGCCACCTGACAGCCCATGAAGATACCAGCAGTTAGGCAGGTTAAGGCTTATGCTGGCCTTAATGTCATCTCCAAACCGCAGGTAGCCCAGAGTCCCGATGCTGATGTACAGGGAAGTGACGATGGACATTCCCAAAGACAGGATGGCTGGGAAGTGGCGGGCATTTTTCATCTTGTTTTCCAGAGGCAGAACCTACAGAAACATCACAATGTAAGAAGGAGAAAGAAGGAAAAAGAGAAATAAGAACATAAAGAAAAATGGCATCCTACTTCTGGATGTCTACCCCAAAGAACTGAAAGCAGGGCCTCAAAGAGATATTTGTATATTTATGTGCATAGTAGCATTATTCACAATAGCCAAAAGGTGGAAGCAACTCCAAGGGTCTAGCAACAGAAAATGGATACACAAAACGTGGTGTATCAATGCTATGGAATGTTATGTAGCCCTGAAAAAGAAGGAAGTTTTGTCTCATGCTACCCCACGGATGGATCTTGAGGATATTATGCTGAGTGAAATAAGCCAGTCACAAAAAGACAAGGACTGGCTGATTCCACTTATATGAGGTACCTGGAGTAGGTAGGTCCAAAGAGGCAGAATGCTAGTTGGGAAGGACTGGCATGAGGAGGGTATGGGGAGTTATTGTTTAATGGGTACAGAGTTTCAGTTTTGCAAGCTGAAGAGTTCTGCAGATGAAAGGCAGTGATGGTTGTGCAATAATCTGAATTTACTTAACATATACGTATACTCGAAAATGGTTAAGATGAGTAAATGTTATGTTAGGTGTGTTTGACCACAGTTAAAGAAAAAAAGGAAATAAAAGAGGAGGAAAAAAGGTAGGAAGATGAGGGTAAGGAGGAGGAAGGCGATAAAAAGAAAGGCCTGGAGTCACCTGATGAGCCCCAGACCCTTAAGAGCTGGAAGGGCCCTGAGATTTTATCCAGACCAAAGATCTCAACACTGGGTCAGCTAGATCTGGCCAGCAGATGCATTTTGTTTTGACAGCACAGTCTTTCATAATTGAATATGAATGCCTTTAGGCACAATGTTCTTTTCCCATTCACCAGGCCCTCCTCCCCTCACCCTCACCCACCAGTGAATTATACCTGCTTTCCAAAGGCATTTGTGTTGGAAACTCCTAATTCCAGTGCAGACTCCCCCCACCCAACTCCATCACTGTACAGTGGGGAGTCTGAGACTCCAGGAACAAAGGGCGCTGGTGGCAGCTGGGACCAGACAGTGCTTCCTGGTCCTGCCAGCAATGCATTTCCCCACACCCCAGGTTCTCACTTTTCTGTTCTCAGAATCCTTCTTCCCCTAAATGCATACCTGGTTCTAAGAGAATCCAAGTTGAGGCCAGTCTGCCTCTTGGCAGTTGGGCATTTGAAGATCTCTTCTGTCTTTGAAACCAATCTTCCTGTCTCTCATCCCATAATTTCCTCCTCAGACTCTTACTGTCCAAGAGACCACCGCTACCTTCTCCTACTCCTTGTTTAGGCTGTGTGCTAAGCACTCTCTACATGCACTATTTAGCTAATCTGTTTTCTTATCTGAAAACGGGCTCAAATGAATTCTGTTTTGTTTTGTTTTTTTTGTTTTTCTTTTTTGGAGAGTCTCACTCTGTTGCCCAGGCTGGAGTGCAGTAGTACAATCACAGTTCACTGCAACCTCTGCGTCCCGAGCTCAAGAGATCCCTCTCATCTCAGCCTCCTGAGTAGCTGGAACTACAGGCACATGCTGCCATGCCTGGCTAATTTTTGTATCTTTTTGTAGAGACGGGCTTTTGCATGTTGCCCACACTGGTCTTGAACTCTTGGGCTCAAGCGATCCTCCCACATCGGCCTCCCAAAGTGCTGGGATTACAGGCGAGAGACATCACACCTGGCCGAATTTTGCAAATTTTGTGGAGAATTACACAAGCACCATAATGGCATGTCAAAGGCTTAGTAAATATTGGCAGTGGTTATTTTTTAATACTGTAAAGACCGTAACTCTATGAAGTTGGTACCTCCATAATTCTTGTTTTACAGATGAGGAAAACAAGGCTCTGAAAGTGAGATAACTTATCCCAAGTTGCAGAACCAGAAAGTGTCAGATTCAGGTTGTAGACCAGCGCTGTTATCCAAAGTCCAAGTACCTGCTTCTACTCCTATAGCAATGGGTATATTTGTTACTAAGGAATTTAGCATCTTTTCCCTTATACGGTTGAATTCTTTTCTGTTGTACATGCAGACTTCCAGCCCTGACATTCCCTAACCTTCCCTCTATTCCAGGCATTTGGAAGATGCTTGAGGGCAGTGTCAGGCTGGGTCATCCCTGTGCCTTTCCACTTTCTTCTGGATTAGGTCTAGTTGCAGCAGGTGCTCAGGAGGATGTTTGACGATTATACAATAATTGTATGGAGAGCAGACAATCCAACCTGAGCTCTTGTACCCTGCAACACAATTTCGTTGCATATATTCTCAAGGCCAAAAATGATCTTTCCACAAGGCCTGCTCAGACTAGGTAGCTGGCTTCCTCTCTCTCTCTCTCTCTCTCTCTGTCTCACTGTCTCTCTCTCTCTCTCCACAATCAATCAGTCAAAGAGATAAATGGCTGTTGACAGTGAGTGGGAAGGTCCCTGGACTGAGAGTCAGATGTACTAGGCTTTAATCACATCTGCACAGTTCCTAGCTGGTGACCTAACTGAAGTCCCTTTCACTCTCTGGGGCTGTCCCTCTTCTGTAAAATTGGAGACTGGGCCAGAAGAGTTCTTCTTAAGATAATTTCAACTAATACTAAGAATCACCAGCACATAGTAGGCATTCAAGAAATACTTACTGAACAAACATTGTCATCATTTTATAGTTGGAGTGTTAGAGTCCAGAGAGTAGCCCCGGCCAAACCAAGATTCCAGCACATTCTGCCTCCAAAGTCACTTGCTCAACCACTGCACTCTGCTTCTGTCCATGACTACTCCAAATTCTAAAAACAAAGTGCTTCCAGTTCCATCTAGATGAAGTAAGCACACTTCACAATATCTCTTTCACTAATTATGGCTAAAAATCCTGGACGAAATACATAAAGCAATTGTGCACAGGTTCTGAAGAGTAAATAGTAGCAGGCAGAATGGGGAGGGAAATCAAAAAGAAAAAACAACTGTCGTGGTGGTGAGTTTCCTGATTTTTTTTCTTCCCATATGTCCCAGTTTAACCTCAAGGGACACCCAAATCTTAGAACTATGTGGTGTATACAGACAGAAAATAACGCCAAGAGAAACTTCTTTTTGGCCAGATGACTTAGAATAGGGTCCCCTGTGGGATGAAAAGCATGGAGAGAAACTCTATTTTTCTGTTTCTTTGTTTTATCTCCAGGCCGAGACCTCAAGGCAAGTCCCAGTCACTAAGCAGCATTCTGGTATATCAGTGGCTGTAGTGGTCACACAGGCACCCAAAAATCTGAGATAAAAATCCTCTCTACACAGTAGTACTAGGAAAATGGGCTTTAAGAGTCTGAAGAGTGTGGGAAATCAGGACTGGCTACATAATTTATGGGCCCCAGTACAAAATGAAAATGCAGGGTTCCTTGGTGAAAGATGGTTCCAGCAGAGCGTTAGTAAGTGCGAGATCCTTCTGAAAGTTGGACCTTATGTGGCTGCATGATTCACCTGCTCATGAAACTGACTCTGGAAAGAATCACTGTTACGCTTTTTCTTTCTCTTTTCACTCATTGCTCATCCCCAGAGGCAGACCTGGTCACAGGAAGTACGTGACAGTGTAGGAGGCTAAAATCCTGGCTTTCTAGCCAGAGGATGGGAAAAAGAAGCCACTGCGAGCTGGCGAGTGTTCAGGAAAGCACAGAGGAGAGAAAACTGGAAAAAGCAATCTCCTAAAATCTGTGAATAATATTCTGGGCCCAGCCCTGAGCTGTACATGTGTGGAGCTGATGAAGGCATCAAAGCAAAGGCTTTGAGAACTGAACTACTGTGTAGAGTCCTGTCTGCCGATTGGCACTAGGTGGCACATGAGCAGGGTAGAGCCAAATATCACTTTACGGGCTTTGAAAACTAATTGGATATTGGAATCATGGCCCACAGAAGGTGAGCAAGGACTTATGATCTGAATCTAACTAGGTAGATGGTTTGCTAAAACCAAAAATCAACATTCTGAAGAGGATTTTAACAGGATCCTGAGTCTCCTAAAATAATATTCACAATGCATAGGATACAGTTTCAAATTATTCAACCTACAAAGAACAAGAAAAATCTCACCAATTTTCAAGAGAAAAGACAACAGATGCCCACCTTAAGATGACTCAAACGTTGGGAATATTAGGCAAAGACTTTAAAGCAGGTAATATAATCATACTTCAAAAAGTAAGGGAGAATGCTATTAAAATAAATGCACAGATACAAGTTCTTAGCAAAGTAGAAGCAATGTAAAAGAAACAAATGGAGATATTATAACTGGAAAATAAAATAATAAAAATTTAAATACCTCACCGTAGGAGCCTGATAGCAGAATGTAGATAACAGAAAACAGAGTCGATAAATTTGAGGATAAACAGGAATGACAGAATCTGAACAACAAAGAGCAGAAAGATTTTTTAAAAAAATGAACAGAGCCTCAGAAACCTGTGGGATATGCAGTTGACTCTTGAACAACATGGGTTTGAACTGTGCAGGTCCTCAAATAAGTGGATATTTTCAACCAAATGCATATTAAAACTACAGTATTCATGGGCTGCAAAACCTGTATGTATGGAGGGCTGACTTTTCACATACTCAGGCTCTGCAGGGCCACCTGCAGGACTTGAGTAGGTGCAGATTGGTTACACACCGGGTGTGTGTGTTTAGGGGAGGGGGGAGCAGGGCCCTGTAACCAATCTCCTGTATATACTAAGGGATGACTATATATCAAAAAGTCTAACATTCAGGTTATTGGGATCTCTGATGGAGAAGAAAAAGAGATTGGTGAAGAAAAAAAAATCTGAAAAAAATAATGGCTGAAGTTAGGTAAATTAGGTAAAAGACAAACTTTTACAGATTCAAGAAATCTTGTACAGGGCAAACTCAAAGAAACTACATTAAATATAATACAGTATAATGGCTGATTAAAAAAGATTTTTAAAAATTATAAAAGCAAGAGAAAAACACATAGGAGAACAATGATTCAAACAATTGCAGATTTCTCATCAGAAACCACTGAGGACAAAAAGAAAGGAAATCATATTTTCAAAATGATGGAGAAAAATTGTCCACCTAGAATTCCATATCGTGAAAAAATATCCTCTAGGACTAAAGGCAAAAATAAAGACAATCTCAGATCAAGAAAATGAAGATAATTTGTCACTAGCAGACTGCTTTAAAAGAAATGTTAATGAAGGTTCTTCATGCTGAAGGCAAATGATGCCAGAAGGAAATACGATTTCAAGAATAAAGAAAGAGCAATAGAAACGGTAAATATCTGAGTAGATATAACAGCCTATTTTTTCCTAGTAAGTTTATTACAAGGACTATGTATGACTATTGAAAGCAAAAATGATAACATTGTTGGTGTTTCAGTGTGTTTAGATACATATGGCAATACAACATAAAGGGGAAAGTGCCCTATACGATTGTAAAATGTTGACAGTTTACTAGCAGTGATAAAATATTAATTATCTCAAAGTAAACTGTGAAAACATATATTATAGTACCTAGATAAACTACTAAAAGTACTATAGAAAAAGATATAGTCAAAAAGTCAATAGGCCAATTAAAGTGGAATACTATAGAACTATAGTAATCAAAACTGTGTGGTTCTGGCATAATGGTAGACTTATGATCTTATAGACCAATGGAATAGAATTGAGAGTACAGAAATAAACCTATACATCGACGGTCAATTGATTTTTGACAAGGGTGTCAAAACTATACAACATGGAAAGAGTAAATAGTCTTTTCAACAAATTGTGCTGGGACAACTGGATAACCACATATGAAAACATGAAGTTTGACCCTTACCTCATTACCACATACCAAAATTAACTCAAAATGGATCAAAGACCTACATGTAAGAGCTAAAACCATAAAACTCTTAGAAGAAAACTCTAAGGTAAGTCTCCATGACCTATGATTTCGTTTGTTCTTTCTTTCTTTCTTTTTTAAAGACAGGGTCTTGCTCTGTCACCCCAGCTGGAATGCAGTGGTGCAATCATAGCTCACGGCAGCCTTGAACTCCTGGGCTCAAGTGATTCTCCCACTCGGTTTCCTGAGCAGCTGGGACTACAGGTGTGTGCCATTACACCCAGCTAATTCTTAAATTGTTTTTGCAGAGACAGGGTCTCTGTATGTTGCCCAGGCTGGTCTCAAACTCCTGCCCTCAAGTGATCCTTCTGCCTTGGCCTCCTAAAGTACTGGATTAAAGGTGTGAGCCACTACATCTAGCCATGAACCTAGATTTTGCAATAGATTCTTAGACATAACACACAAAGTACAACCAGAAAGAAAGAGGATGAATTGGACTTTATAAAAATTAAAAACTTTTGTGCATCACAGTTCACTGTCAAGAAAGTGAGAAGCCAGGTGTGATGGACTATGGTCACGCAACTATAATCCCCACTACCTGGGAGGCTGAGGCAGGTGGTTTACTTGAGTCCAGGGATTAAAAACCAGCTTGAGCAACATAGCAAGATCCCATCTCTCTCTCTCTCTCTCTCTCTCTCTCTCTCTCTTTTTTTTTTTTTTAATGGGACAGCGTCTTGCTCTGTTGCCCAGGCTGGAGTGCAGTGGCGCGATCTTAGCTCACTGCAACTTCCACCTGCTGGGTTCAAGCGATTCTCCTGCCTTAGCCTCCTGAGTAGCTGGGATTACAGGTGCATGCTACCATGCCCAGCTAATTTTTGTATTTTTAGTAGAGATGGGATTTTACTATGTTAGCCAGACTGGCTCCTGACCTCAAGTGATCCGCCCGCCTCGGCCTCCCAAAGTGCTGGGATTACAGACGTGAACCACTGCACCCGGCCCCATCTCATTTTTAAGAGGAAAAAATTTAAAAGGAAAAAAGAAGGGAGAAGACAAGAATAAGAAAAAATATTTGCAAATCATTTTTCTGATAAGGATTTAGTATCTAGAATAAACAAAGAACTCTTAAAATTCAACAACAAAAAGACAAACAACCTAATTAAAAATAAGCAAAGGACTTGACGTTTCTCCAAAGAAGATGTACAAATTGCCAACAAGCAAATGAAAAGATGTTCAATGTCAAACACTTGTACACAAATGCTTACAGCAGTATCATTCATGATTGTCAAAAACTAGAAACAACCCAAATGTTCTTTGACAGGTGCGTTGATAAGCTGTGGTACTGCCCAGACAGTGGACGCTCTGCAATAGAAAGCAAGGTGTTATTGATGTGTGCAACAGCATGGATGAATTTAAAATGCATTAGGCTAAGAGAAAGAAGCCAGTCTCAATCTCATACATACTGTATGATCTCATATATGTGACACTTTGGAAAAGAGAAGACAGTACAGGCAGAGAACAGAAGGATAATTGTTCTGTATCCTGATTTTGGTGCATTTATTCCTCTACGTGCTTCTCTAAACTTACAGGAATGTACACCAAAAAAGTGAATGTTACTGTATGTACACTAAAAGTAATTTTTAAAATATATAAACAACACTAACTTTCCACAAGTGTGGAAGTAGAGACTATAGACTGTAAATACACAGAAGTTTCCAGGTTAAAACTCCATTATGTTTAATCAAATCTTTTAAATTGGACACCATGGTTCATCTTGATTTTAAAAGATTAGGAAACTCATGTCGATAGATGTTTAATAGGCATGTGGGGACAAAAATAAAACTGTCTCCTGACTGCCTCTCTGTTGTAATCAACTTTTCTCTTGCTGGTGACAACTGTCCCAAGTGAGGTCAGAGGTTACTTTCTCCCATGGGCATTTTCTAGCAGGCCCAAAACAATGGCCAGCGGGACACAGAAACCCAGAGCTCCCAGCTCCTTTCCAGAAGGTCACTCAAAAGCACTAGGGATAAGGCCACCTCAATTCAAACCTTACCACACCAATGCTTTCAAAAGAAAAAATGGCTGTTCCGAAGAAGAGAGGGTAGGTCTTCCAGCTTGCTACCAGTGGCAACCGGCTGGGGTCTGGGATTTCCTAAAGGAGAGAGAAACGCTATGAGATAGTCACTCTTAAAGCACATTTGAGCTCCTTTAAGAGAAGGATAATCTGAAATGAGACCTGATTTTTTTAAATTGAGTATCAAGAAGTTTAGAGAACTTCAAATACATGTAGGCCACGATCAAAGTTGATTTCAACACTGCACAATACCAAAGAGCCAGAGGACGGTATTGTCAAAGCACTGAAGGAATAGTATCTCATAGAGGGAAGTTTGGTTTATCAAAAACCTCCAAAAAGGCTGGGTGCGGTGGCTTACACCTGTAATCCCAGCACTTTGGGAGGCTGAGGCAGGCAGATCACTAGGTCAGGAGTTCAAGACCAGCCTGGCCAACATGGTGAAACCCCGTCTCTACTAAAAATACAAAAATTAGCCGGGCATGGTGGTGGGTGGCTGTAGTCCCAGCTATTCGGCAGGCTGAGGCAGGAGAATGGTGTGAACCTGGGAGGCAGAGCTTGCAGTGAGCTGAGATTGCACCATTGCACTCTAGCCTGGGCGAAAAAGCGAAACTCCATCTCAAAAACAAAACAACAAAACAAAAAAATCCTCCAAAAGAAAATCTTACACACCACAGATTAGCACCGAACGCGCCCACGA